CTAACCAGAAGGCTGGTGGTTCAAACCCACCAGCCACTCCTCGGAAGGAAGATGGGGCAATCTACTTCTGTAGTGATACCACCTCAGAAACCCAAGGAGTCAGATCCAACTCAGCGGCAGTGAGTTTGGGTTTTTTTGGTTTGAATTGTTTAGAAGTGTGTTGTTTAGTTCCAAGTGTTTAGAGATTTTTGCTCTTCTCTTTCTGTTTTAAGGATCTCTGGTGATGCAGTGGTTAAGGCAGTCAGCTAGCTGCTAACCAAAAGATTGGTGGTTTGAACCCACCAGCCACTCCACGGGAGAAGGATGTAGCAGTCTGTTTCCATGAATATTTACAGCCTTGGAAACCCTGTGGGTAGTTCTACTCTGTACTATAGAGTCACTATGAGTCAGAATTGTCTCAATGGCAGTGGGCTTTGGGTTCTTTCTGTTACTGATTTTGTTAGAAAATCCTCCTACAAAAGAGACTTCCACGCAGGATTTGGTTGATGACACTCTATGCAACAAGAGAATTAATTTGAGAGAAAATTATTACTCACACAAGGGACTCTCTGGGAGAGCTAAGCAGGTGCAAGCAAATCCAGATTAGTTTAGACAAAGCAGAGGGAGTAAGTCTAGACCTTTATAGTGGCTGGGAATGGGACGGGGAAAAGTTCCCACATGCACAAGATTTAAATTTCCTGCCAATGCCAAAGGAGAAGGTGACCTCACAGGATTTCTTATCTTCCTGTCCAGATATGAGGCCAAAGGGAAAGGGAGGGTGAAAATAAGTCAGCAGTCAAACATTGAAAATGAGGTTAGACTTTGCATTACAGATTTCTAGTTTGATTCTATCATGGTCAGAGGACACACTCTGTGTAAGTTCATTTCTTCTCAATTTCTGGAGGTTTGTTTTATGGCCACAGATATGGTCTGTCTTGGTACATGCACCATGACACTTGAAAAGGATGTGTATTCTGCTGCTGCTGGGTGAAGTGCTATGTAAACATTCATTCGATCCTGTTGGTTGATGGTCTTACTGACTTCCATATCTAACCAATTCTCTCTCTGGTTGGTTCTTCCAGTTGCTGAGGGAGGAGTGTGGAAGTGCCAGACTAGTGGGTTTGTCTGCTTCTGTTTCAGTTCTTTTAGTCTGTGCTTCACATACGTCTCTGCCCTTTTGTTTGCTGCATCCACATTTCTGATTGCTCTTCTTGGCCCTTATTCAGTGGCTTTTGTTTCTGGTCATTCTCTTTCCTCTGAAGTCTACTTGTCTGATATTAATATAGCCATGCCTGTTTTCTTTTGATAAAGGTTTGCATGATAGATCTTTTCCCATCTTTTTATTTTCCACCTTCCCATAGTGTTATATTTGAAGTGAGTTTCTGATAGACAACATATAGTTGGGTCATGGTTTTTCATCTCTTCTCTTTTGGCCCCAGGAGCACTTTCTATTCTTAGTTCCCATGATTTCATTCTTCCAAGTATCTCCAGATTTCCCCCACACCCATTTACTCTATATCCCATTATCACTGACCTCGACTTGAAAGTATTAATTCTTTTGTTGTTGTTAGTTGCCCTGCCTCATGGCCACTCACAGTCAATGCATGTACCTGCTGCCCAGTGCTGTGTCATTCCCATGATTGGTTGTGGATCAGACTGTTGTGATCCATAGGGTCTTCACTGGCTGATTTTCAGAAGCAGATCTCCAGGCCTTCCTTCCTACTCTGTCTTAGTGTGAAGCTCCACTGAAACCTATTCAGCATCATACAGTGAACAAACCTCCACCCAGAGCTCGGTGAAAACTACCTCACTCTCCCCTGGTTCCCTGCCCCTTTAATATGCCAAGCATTTCCAATTTGCCATCTTGAAGGATTTTTCCAGAGCCACTTTCCAAGCCACGTAATAATTATTCTTTAGGAAATTACCTCTTCGCCAATCCTCCTATCAACATTTCCTCAGCCTGATTAGAAGATATATTTTTTAAAAAATAAATTAAATTTGCTCTTAAAAAGACAAATATTGTTTCGTTAGGGATGTCCAGAAGACAAGCTTTGTTTTGAACACTATAACATGTTTTTAGTTTCTAAGGAAGAAATTAAAAGGGACAAAACAGATATTGTCATATGTCTTTTTTAAAAAACGTACATTACTTTGTAATATGCCTCAAATAATTGGTTCCATATGGCATGGCCATTCATTGGGATCTCATTGGTTTGTGTATGTTCAGCCTTGTCTGGGACCAAATCTGATTTTCTTGTGCATACTCATGGAAATTGTTGATTCCTATTGAGAAGAACTATTTTAGAGTTAAGTTACAAAGGCAATTTAGAGATGAAAGCAAATCTGTTGACAAAAGAAATGGCCCAGAAATCAGACTTTTTCTTTTTTCTTTTCCAGCCGGCCTGAAAGTATCAGTTCAGAAGACAGCCTGGAGTCCCTTTTAGATGATGATATGGACTATGATCTGGTAACCAGCTTATATTTCCTGATTTCAGTTTAAGTTTGGTGGAAAGTATAAATCCTCATTTCTTATTTTGAAATTTATATTTTCTATTGCAAAAATTTCACAAAATTTTCAGAAGGCAATATGACTTTGACACTGTTCCCAATGATATATATAGTTCATCATTGTCACCAAACATTTTATGAAAAATAAATGTCTATAAGATGTTAATAATTCAGGAGATATATATTATCTATAATATTCCTATAAAAATGCCCACTTTTTGGATGCTTATCTTTTTTTTAGGGCTTGAATCTGTTGGTTAAGAACAGTAAGATAAATCAGCCTTCAATAAAACAGGCCATTAGTGCTGCAAGAGTGATTTTGAGCTAACCCCATTCTAAATACAATCAGTTGTTGTTGTTGTTGTTATTGTTTGCCGTGAGTCGGCCCTGACTCATAGTGACCCCTCCTTGGGTTTCCGAGGCAGTATCACTACGGAAGTAGGATTGCCCAACCTTCCTTCCGAGGTGTGGCTGGTGGGTTTGAACCGCCAGCCTTCTGGTGAGCAGTCAAGTGCCTTAGGCACTATGCTACCAGAGCTCCAGAGAAACTCAAAAAAACTAAAACCCCGATAACTGCCAGCCTTTATTATATATTACACACCTTACCCCTAGCCATTTTTAAAAAACTGTTTCTTTAAAGTAATACATACAGATTCTAAAATATCTGGAAAATATAAAATAATTAAAAGGTGTGGGGAAGGGATGGCCTTCTCTTAGCCTCTTACTTTTTTCTAACACTTTCCCCTTACCTTTTCTACAGCCGTCTTTCCCTCTCTGTCCTACTCCTTGCCTCCTCTCCTACTCTATCCCTCCTTCTTTCTCTTTTCCTCACCCTCTTCTTCCTTTTTCCCTTCCTCTCTCCAAGGAGCCCTAGTGGCACAGTGCTTAAAGCCCTTGGCTGCTAACTGAAAGGTTGATGGTTAGAACCCACTAGCCACACCGTGGAATAAAAAAGATTTAGTCTTGGAAGCCCTATGGGAGAGTTCTACTCTGTCCTGTAGGCTTGCTGCGAGTCAGAATTAACTTGACAGGAATAGGTTTCTCCTCTCTTGTGTCTCTAATCTCC